AACCCCCCCCCCCAACAGAACCTGGTAGGAAGAACACAGACCACAGATTCTGCCTGATAACAGAGCAGGGGACTTGTCTGAGTAAGGAATATTCCCCAGGGGCAGGATGAATCAATGATCTCAGGCCTCGAAAAGCCATGGGACCATCCCAGTGTGCCAGCGGTAGCCTTTCTCTCCATTTTAACTCTCACAGACACATCTGCTCCAGGAGTGAAGGAGAAGCAGAGCTTGTGTGCACAATGATGTTCTTAGGCCATGATTGTGTGGACATGAGTAAGTGTACTTAGGGCATGTGTGTGTGGACATGGGTAGGTGTGCTTAGAACATGCTTGTGTGGGCAGTGGATAGGCATGCACACGTTTAGCTGGGATTTCAAAACTTCTCTTAGTCGCTTGGTGTCATTTACTCACTGTAGCAAAACTGCTATGTGGGTGTCAGTATACCTGATGGGCAGAGGAGGAACTGAGGCATAGAGGACAACAGCTGGTTAGCAGTTGAGCTGAGTCCTGGCGATCCCTGGGGACTGTGGCAGGAGTATGGGGGAGACTTTTCACTCCTGACTAGGCATAGCCGGGAACAGGTGATGCAGCAACAACCTGTTGTGTGTTCTTTGGCTGTGCTGTAGACAGCACAGCAGCAGCGGAAGTACTACCAGGACAAGACCGGCACGGTGCCCCGTGTTCCCTACTTCGTGTTGCCTGTGAAGGAGCTGGACCGGTACCCCCTACCCACCGACCTGTGAGTGTCCCTATCTTCCTCTCTGTCATGGACATGCACACACACACACACACACACACACACACACACACACACACACACACACACACACACACACACACACACTCTTTACCCAGCCCTAGAGCCCTGTCACTCAGAACCAATTAGCAACCTAATGTGAAGTGCCTGCCATCAGAGGCAGTTGCATTGCAGGGAGGGGCCCAAGTCCAACAACTTGTGGAGGGAGAATGCCAGGAATGCAAGTAGGCTAAATCAGAAAGTGTTTTCCTGACCAGAGGCATGCTCCATAACCTGTGCGAGAACCTGTCCACTGCTCCCTCTACAAGGGCCCCCTCTCAAAGCTGAACCAGTCCAAACATGGAGCTGCTGCTGCCCTCTGGTGGTTAAATAGGACACTACATTGACTAGAGCCAAGCCATCCACTTGCTACCCCCACCTTCTAGCCCTCTCCTATGGCACCCAGTCTGGGAAGTTCTGGGAACCTAGTTGCACATCAAGGACTTGAAAATACCTTAAATGCCTAACTAGCCAAGTAAAAAAAAATTTAAATGCAAGAAAGCATGTTGTCCCCTAGCTCTCGCAACTGGGGCTATCTGGGAGAGTCTTAGCCCACCTCCAGGGAAGACCTACTTTGCCCTGAAAGGTGAGCCAGGCAGTGTCACTCCCTCCTGCCATCTGAGGGGTCACATGCTTATTCCTAGGTGCCTATGGGCGGGGTAAGGTGGTGACTTGTCCCTGGGCTAAAAACCAGCAGGACTCCAAGCCCATTCCTCACTCCACTCTTACAACCCACCTCTCTGTGTGAGCAGGGGCTGTTAGGAGGTCAGGGGGCAGGTGTGGGGTTTCTAACCCTTCCTAACCCCTCACAGAGCCCAGCCTCCACATCCTGATGTAGATAAAGCAACTGTTCCCACAGTTTGGTAGATGGTGCAGGCACTGTCTCACCGCCTCTCTGTGACATAGGTGGGTCTGTTGATAAGTAGGTAAGCTGAGTCCGGCGAGGAGCTCAGGAGTTGTGCCAGGTGGCCTGGTGGTTGGAGACCCAGTCTGGGAAGAGACCCATGTCTGTTGCAGTCAACCCAGTCTTTGAGTGTGACCTACTCTCTAACGAGGCAGTTCTGAGCCAGTGTGTTCATGGGGACAGATCTCCTGAGATCTTGCTAGATGTGTTCTTCTTGAATCTTCAGATCCTTATAGCTCTTCACCGAATTACCCAGTAGTCTGTGCTGCCGACAGTGCCATTTCTGACCCAGATAATCCTAAGAGCCCCGGGAAGGCCAGTGGTCAGTTCTGTAGCCTGGAGAGGCTCTGTCTTTTTGGAGTTCTAACATCACCATCATCATCACCATCGCCTTCACCATCTTCACCATTGTCACCATCGTCACCATCACCTTCCTCACCTTACCCATCATAATTACCGTCACCAACTCCATCACCTTCATCATCGTCACCTTCGTCACCTTGCACATCATAATTATCATTACCATCACCACCATTACCTTCATCACCATCACATTAACCATCTATCACCCTCACCACCATCTTTACCATCATCACCACCGCCCCCTTCCTCACCTTGCCCATCATCATAATTAGCATTACCATCACCATCCATCACCACCATCACCTTTACAGTATCAGCAGCAGCAGCCACCATCTCCTGTAACCTTTACCTTTCATTAAGTGCTTTGTATGAAGAGCTTCACTTAGAACAAAGCCAACTGGGCAACAGTAACAGCACTTCATTGTTACATGGGTTTGTTTACAGCCAGAGATAGTACCTGAATCTATACCCAAGTCATGTGACTTAGCAGCTATCACACTGCTGAATGGCTACAGGGCCACAAAGCTATTGTGGGTACATGGGGCTATGGTGAACACTCTTGGCCCTCCCCACCAGACATTCTTGCCTGACAAAGGCCTCATCCTCACCCCCAGGCCTCCTCTGAGCCCGAAGAATAAATGGCACCTTTTAAGAGTGTCCCCTGACTACCTGAAGACCTACCAGACCTTCCCATCAGGGAAGAGGGTCTCCTCACAAGAGCGACAAAGGAGGGACAATTACTTTGAGTTCAGAGCCTGAAACTAGGCTGATGCCAGGGAGCCTTGGCCTGACCAGGCTGGCTGGCTTGCAATAAAACCTTCAGCCACAACCATCCCATGTGCCTCTCCTTTGGATCCTGTCAGCATGCTTGAAGGTATCCCAGGTGCCTGGGGGAAAGCTAAACCTAAGGGATTCAAACTAAGATGCTGTGTCCAGCTGCTGTGGGCCACCCAGCTGCTCCCAAGTTGCGGTAGGTGGGGCCAGTGGGTCTGACAAAGGTCAGCTCACAAGGCTGCCCATGCAGGAGACCTCACATCTACTTTCACGGTATAATTGAGAACACCCAGCCCATGTTCGTAAGTGGGTGCCATGGCTCCCAAACAATTGCGCTGGGTATCAGTGCTCAGCTCTTGTCTTTTTTCCTTTTCCCTTTACTCAGTCTGGGAGTTCAACCCATGAGATAGTGCTGCTCACATTCCAAGTGCAATCTCCGCCCTCAGTTAATTGACTCTGTAAACACCTCACTGACACATTCAAAAGTGTATGTCACTAACTCCCTGGGTGTTTTTTAGTCCGATCAAATTGACAATGAAATAACCCTCACACATGGTGAGGAATGCTCCCTGGAGCCTTGGTGTCATTTAATTGATCTTATGATAAGGTCTGGGGACAGCATCAACCTCCCTCTTCACTGAAGATGTGGAACTTCCAGGATGCTGAGAAAGTTGCCCAAGCACACACTGTAAGGAAACAGCACTGACAAGATTTGAATGGAGCCTTTTGGACTCCCCAGTCCTGGCTTCTCTATCACACACCCATGTGGAGACAGAAGGGGCCTCTATGATCCCAAGGGGCCTGGAAGCTCTTGAGAGAAGCCGTCTGTACAGCATGGACAGGTAGGAGTTGGCTAAGTAAGTATCTACCCTTGAGCTTATGTCTTTTTTTTTTTTTTTTTTTTTTTTTTTTGGTAACAGTTTTCTCTACATAGTCTTGGGTGTCCTGGAACTCACTCTGTAGACCAGGCTTGCCTCAAACTCAGAGATCCACTTGACTCTGCCTTCCAAGTGCTGGGACTGAAAGTGTGTGCCACCACTGCTGAGTGAACTTATTTGTTGAAGAGCTGGAGGAGTAAGCTGAGACTAAACTACTCTTAACAACATGGCCATGGGAAGTGGGTGCTGAGGTCACAAGCCTAGGTGACCTTTGAGGGTCAAAGTCTGCTCTCTCAATGTGACTGCTTCCAACCTCCTGGGAGACTTTGACAGGGCAGAGGGCAGGACATAACAGCCCCATAGGTGATTCTGAGGAGGAGATCTCAGCTCAGGAGTGTACTATGCCATTGGGGTCCCCCAGCATCCATCCCTTCCTGGATATGATCAAGGAGACTCCATCGAGCACTGGCTGCCTATTGCCTCCAAACAGGTGAGTCAAACCTAAAGAACAGGATCCAGTATACACTGTAACAAAAAAACCCTTCCAGTGTAATTAGTGCTTGTCTGCCTCCCTCAGGACCAGGATGAGGAAAACCACATGCCCAGCAGGTAGCCATCTGGCAGCTGCCACAGTTCTCATGATGAGCTTCTCTTATGTCCCAGAGTCTCTGGCCAGCTGGACCCCAAAGTGTCCCCAGAGTCTCCAAATTCATTGCAGGGCTTGGCTGAATACCAAAGCAAATAAGCCCTAAATGCTGGTCACACATGGTCCCATCCCCAGAGCCCAAGGGTGGCAAGCAGGGCCAAGATGTCTTCTCCGTGGGCAGAAGACAGAAAAGCCAGGCGTCAACTGGAATGACAGCTATGCACACATCCCTGATACTGCCCTGGAAGGTGATGGGTCACGAGTGAGTTCCAGAGGAGGGAGGGTTGAATATTTTCCTTCTGAACTTTGTTCCATTTGGCTCAGACCCCTCCTCTGACACGGGTTGAGGCTTGAACTCTGTCCTCAGAAAGGATTGCCATCCTGACTTGCCTGGAGTTTTTAGCAAACCCGAGCCATAGAAAGAGCTATTCTCAACACCAGCTCCCTATGTAGGACCCTGCTTTCAAAAAGCAGTGGGTATGGATGGGCTTAGGAAAACATTTCTTATTTATTTAGTAAACAATATTCCAGAGGTGAAGGAGGGACAGAGACAGTCATACTTCGAATCAGATCCGCCATGCCAGGCATAGTGGTCCAGTGGTCTCCCTTGAGGATGCTGAACCACAGGGTTACCTCTACATCAACATCCCCAGAAATGAATCCGGAAGGAGCTGAAAGAAAGAATCTCGGCTATCTGAGGTCCCCACCCTGTCCCATCAGGCCTGCTTCTATAGGTAATGCTCCCAGTCAACTCAAACCGTGTGTGTGTGTGTGTGTGTGTGTGTGTGTGTACGCGCGTGTGCACATGTGCAAGAGAGTGAAGGCGCACATAACATGTACATGTGTGGAAGCCAGAGAACAACTTCAAATATGGTTCCTTGGGAGCCATCTACCTTATTTTTTGTTTGTTTTTGGACAAAGTCTCTTGCTGGCACCGGGGAACCCATTGGCCATCCTGTCCCAGCCTCCCCAGCCTTTGTATTGAAGGCATATAACATCATATTCAACTTCTAATATGGATGTCAGGGATCAAACTCAGATCCTCATAATTGCATAGCAAGTTAGGTTTACTAACTTAGCTATTTCTCCAGTTCCTAAACTTTCTTCAAGCTTCTCTTAGCACCACCAGAACACACAAGGTCTCTGAATTTTGGGGTGTTAGAGGTAAGGGAAAGAAATGGGAGCAATTTAGGCACATATACAAGGCAAATAGGATTCCAGCACCAGTGTTGTGTGGGGCTGTTATGGAGGAAAAGGAATTTCCTGATAAGACTGCTTCCAAGTGAGACCTATATAGGTTCTGCCTTAGCCACAGCCCTCTGGTAGTAGCCAAGATGGAGTCAGAAGCCTTTATCTCCATCCTTGTAGTTGGAAGAGGCATTGACCACCTGGCCCAGCTGAGCCAATCAGAGTTCCTGAGTTCAGAGTTGAGCTGAGACAGAACCATTGAAGCTCAATCAAAATGAATTATAAACTGCTGGGAGGCCATGACACATAATGATCCCTATGTCTGACAATCCAGAGGTTGTAGGTGTGCAATGGAGGATAAGTGTAGAGGTGTGAGTAGTAATGGAGAGCTAATGAAGATAGAGATGGGTTGGGGAAAGGGACAGAGGGAGATGGGAACACACAGCTGTCTGGGCTCCTGCCAAGGTTCTTGCTAAACCCTGCCCTGTCCTCTTTGGAGTTGGTTTGTAAACTTCTCAAGAAGCACCATCCTTCCTCCTCCCTGTTGCCTATGAGATCAAGGGGCAGCAAGCCTTAGGGGCAATCATGCAAGACATGCCAGCAGATGCTGACTAGGCAGAAGGAAGGCTATTCTCACAGGATTCTTCAGTCATGTCGTGGACATTTCTACAGAGGATGTGTTTGCCCTGAATTGGAAGGAACCAGAAGACTGGCAAATATGGCCTTGGAAACACAGAGTCATCATCTGGAGGGAGTCTGGAGCAGGCATCACTGAGGCCCCTTCTGATCTCAGGTAGAATTAATTGCTTCTCTTATGACATCGCTTTTGTCAGCTCTTCTAATAGCATCCTTACACTATTAAACAAACCCTCTCTACTCCACCCTCCAAGCTCCCAGTGTATCTGGGTAATGGTGGGCAATGCTCAGGGCAGATGTGAAGCCCAGTAGGTACGGGGAGTTGTACACAGCTGCTCTGGCCATCAGGGGTAATGTCTCTGAGGTGTGCCAACCCCACAAATGGTTTGCAAACCTTGGAACCCTGCCGTCCCTGTCTTGGTTCCTAAGGTTAGCTGTTTTCTCAGACACTTCAGTTTTACTACTACTAAAAGAAGCAAACTCATGACTTCCATGGCAAGGCTGAGACATGCCATTGGCTCAGGGGACACTAGGGGGAGCCTTCCCTGCCTCCAACCTTGCTGGCCAGCCCCTCCCCTCCAGAATGTCTTACTTCATGAAATCTGGAGATTTGGCCATTGCATGTTCAAACTCTGAGAAGGACAGCATGCTGTCATTGTCCAGATCTGACTCACTCAGGACCTGTTGGAAGGGAGGAGGCTGAGAGGAGCCGGGGGGCCCAATAGGAGCTGGGATCCAGTGTAGATAGAGGAACTACTGTATGGCAGGGTGTCTCAGGGCCTCTCCCCCACAGAGAGGTGAAGGTGTGTAAGCTAACTTAGGGGTGGCGGAGGCATCATGGCTGGCCTTCTTTTGGGAGGATTATCTTCAAGTGGCCCCCCAGCACCAACATGACAATGAAGACAGTAGACTCCATTCACCCCACTAGCCAGGCATAGGTATGAGCCCCACATTGTAAGGGATTCCTTCCCAAGAAGATGGCCTGATATCTGGGGACTTTGACCCTCAGGCCCCACCCTTCACTTCTGGATACATACGTGGTGGGTGATGTCCATCAGCAGGTCCTCAGACACATCATCACTGTTCAGCAGTCTTAGCACAATTTTCTGGAGGTCTTCCTCATCAATGAAGCCATTCTCATTAAAATCTGCAGAGAAAAGATGGAGGCTGAGTGTCCCTGGCTCATGGAACCATCAGTCTCTGGGAGGCCAACTAGGGTCCACTTGCCCCAAATAAGTATACAATCTGGGACATGGCGGGGGTGAGGGGACTGCCTGGCTTGTGGAGGTGGGGCATGCAGCCATAGGGCCAGCTGTAGAGAATACTGAGTAAGGCAACAATAATAGCTCGTTATAAGTATTGGCTGCGCACCTCCTGTGTGCTCGGATGTGTCCTCTTTTTAAGTCACCTAATCCTCACCATCCACCTTTCCATTGTCTTATTTTTGTCAAAAGGACACAAAGGTTCAGGTGTGATATAGCTTATCCAAAAGGCCAGAAAACCAGAAGGCAGAGGTCAAACCCACCTAGGCTGACCTGGCCCTACATCCAGGTTCATGCTATGGGATGTCCATTTCAGAACTCAGAAGCCATGTTGCGGTTTGGTGGCCAGGAGCCAGGCAGAGTATAGGAGTGAAAGGTGGCCTGGATGGAACCCAAAGCATCTGTCCCTGTGTGGTAGCTGCCTGTGTGACCTGAACATGTGTCCCAATCTTCTCAAGAAAGTGAGGCAGTGGCTCATGCAGCTTGTACTACTAATGGGTTGGCTTAAAGAATTCCAGCTGTTTCCCTCAAAGACTCAGGGGCTGGAGCAATACTCCCTACAGCTTGGCATAATTCTGAGGACAGTGCCCAGCACAAAGCAGAGTCTCAATGAATAAATGGTTGAATGAACATCCACTTCAATCTGGTAAGTGATGGGGTCATGACTAAACTCTGCCATTTAGACATTCCAGGAAATCTGTGCTCTTTACCACTTGAGACTGTCTCCATTACAGAAAGCCACCAATTTTTAGCTGGGCAGAGGATCATCCAAACAAAGCACTGTTTCCCAGCCTCCCTTGCTGCAAGAGGCGGCCAAATGACTAAGCTCTGCCCAGTGACATATTAGTAGAGGCCAAGTGACTTATGGGAAAGTTTCTGAGACAATGAGGTAACCATGGAACTAGAAGGCAAAACATATATGTGTGTATGTGTGTGTGTGTGTGTGTGTGTGTGTGTGTGTATCATATATACAATCCCAGTTCATTATTTGAGCCTCAGTTTCCCTGTCTGTAAAATGGGGACAATAGTAGTACCTCTACCATGTGAAGGTTAAATAGGAAATATCTAACCATCCCTTGGCATGAATGTCTAGACTACAGAAGACTCCTGTTAGCTGTAGCCAGAGCTTAATTCTTCATCAGGTACTTACTGTCGAGTACTAAAAATGAAAACCCTAGAAGCTGTAACATCCCACCTTGAAGAATGACAGCTAGCGTCTAGTGAGTTACTAAGGGAACTGAGGCCTAGAGTCTGCCAGTACCACAGAGTTCTTTAATGGCAGAGCCAATTAATGTCTGTCCCTACAGGAAGAGTATACATATGGAAGGTACAGTACCTCCCTGTCTGTGACTGGAGCCCCAGTCTGAGCTGCTCTTGGGTGCTCTCCCTGCATGACCCCTGCGTACCATAGAAAGTGAATGGCAGGAGCGGGTGAAAGGGGTAGAGACAATGAGCAGCTGCAGTGACACCACACTGCTGGTAAGAAACTCTGCAGCCTCTCCCCAAGCCCCTGCAGTGTCCCCAGGCATCCTGCTGGCCCAGCTCCCACATGCAGAGACTCCAGAAAATGACATGGCTTTGGTCCCAAGCCATCAGAAAACAGAATAATTTGCTAGAGTAAATGTAGTCCTGGGTGGTTCCTGTCCTTTGGGGATGAAAGGGCAGAGAAGTCTGGGAAAGGGCTAGGCCAGGGTGTCTGTGCGTTGGCTGGTTCCCCATCTATGCTGACCCAGCAGTCTTAGCCCTCACAGCCTGTGGCCAACTACCCTGGTGGGTGTGGGGGCTCTCATGTATTTCTCAACACTGGATGCTTAGGGAACCAGATCTGTTAAGGTTTGGCCTTCAAGTCCCTCCAAAGCGTGATGCCCATGAAGCACAGCTGTAAGATAAAGCTCCTTGCAAGGGCAAGCTTTCAATAGTCTCCCTAGGCTTACTCCACAGCCTCACCTAGCCACTGGCACTTCTGTGGTTGGGTTGGGTCTCAGGGAGGTATGGCAAGCCCTGCTACTTGCTTTCTGCCTAAGCAGCCATAGCTGCTGCCAACTAGATCAGGAAGGTGTGGCTGAGATGTTGGTTTCTGACAAAAGTGATTAATCTTCCTGGAGATATGGAGAGAATGTGACACTGATCACACAGAGGCTAGAATGTCCCTCAAGATAGAAAGTGGTGCCCAGGCGGTGAGCTCCAGGGGTCAAGGTTCTCTAGCCCTGCCACATTCTTAGCCAGTAGCCATCATCAAAACAGTTCTTGTTCAAGATGACCCTGGGTTCAGATGAAAATGCATGGCTTTCCCATCTTCGCAGCAGCCATGGGTGGCTGTATGACATCATTCTGGTCCCTGAAATGTAAACTGAAGTGTCTTGGTGGCGTTCCAAGAGAGCTTGGGAAGGGCTGGCTTATTTGTGTCTTTGGATGTAAATTTCACCTTTACTCCTTCTCCCATCCCCCTCCACACCACTTTCCCTGCCTAGAATAAATATGAGAAGCCTGTGGGCACAAAACGTCACTGTGACCCTGAGGACAATAGGACAAGTCTCATACCGACACTTCACAGCTGAGGAAGCATAAAAGACTCTGGGCCCTTGCTTGCTGGAGCCATCATTCCAGACTTTTATCGTCTGTCTGTCTATAACCGGGGATACTGCTACATGTAGCTGGATGCAATCCTAACAGATACAGCCAGCTGGAATAGGAGCCTCCAAATCTGCTGCATGCTAGAAAGACCCAGGGGGATTTTGCAAAAGCCCACAGGCCAGGAGAATGGCATCTGTATAGGATTCCATCAGGTTGTTTTTATTTTGCTTTAACTCCCAGGTGATTTGAGTATGCAATCAGGTTTGGGAGGCAGAAGGCTAAAACATGGGGCAGAGATTGTTGGGGGTACAGGGGTGTGTTTTCCTAAGATGATTTGATTCAGAGGTATAAGAGGGGCCAGAGGGCCTGTATCTTTGGTATGTTCCCTTGCCCACTGATGTGCCTGGTCCCTGGACTCCACTCAGTCATCAGTCCGGTCAAGAGCATTGAGAGGTCTTTGGACTTTTGCAAGATTCACTGCCATGACCAACACATTCGTCTCCTCTGTCCATCTCTTTGCCCTTCTTTTTATTCCCCTTTCTTCCTTCCTTATAGGCCATCACCTTTAAACTTACTGAGCAGCTTCTGGGTACTACTGGAAGCAAGGATCCTAGAGTTCTCTCCCACACTGAGCTGACAGCTATGTATGGTTACAAGCTGTCAGAACCCAAAGAGAATTCTAATTTATCCTGGATGCAGGCTGGGGCACGAGTCCCATGTACCTATTTACACTGATGATTTAACTGAGCTTTTGAAAGGTCTTTGTGCTTGGGGTCCTCTAGAAAAGGGAATAACTGTGTGCTTTAGGGCTTGAGAGGAATGGAAGAAAGATACAAGGACTCTGGGGTGGAAGGGAGTACCTGGCTTCTGACTTGGCCTCAACCACTCAGTCTGACCTCTAGAACTAAACATTGCCATTTCTAAAGCTAAGCAAGACCCTGGTCTAGAAGATGCTTGTGAGCATCTACTCCCCTGATGGGTTTTGGGGATTTTGCTTATTGGGCTCTGGAAACCATGGGAAGACAGAGCTTGCTCCTTCCTTCCTCCCATTTTTCTCTCTCCTTCAGTCAAGCCTAGTGTATCTCAGGCTGGCTTTCAAATGCTGAGGCTCCCTAGTTAGCACGAAGCCAAAGGTAGATCCAGGAACACAAAAACTGTATTCTGCCAGTGGCTTGAAGGGCCTCCCCCAGCCAGCCAATCTCCAGATAGAAGTAGCTTGGCCAGAACTTTGACTGGAGTTTATGAAACTTTAAGAGAGGGATCCCTGGGAGTGGTAATGCACATGTTCGTCCCAGCACTGAAGAGAGAGGGGCAGATAGTCTGTGAGTTCCAGGCCAGCCAGGACTATATAGTGAAACTCTGTCTCACACACACACACACACACACACACACACACACACGCACACGCACACGCACACGCACGCACGCATCGGAAGAAGGATCCAATTAAGCTAAGCTTGGATTCTTAACTGGCAGCCCCCTGAAACCATTTAGGTACACAAACCTCTGAAGTTTGGGGTATTTTTTTTTAACCCAGCCCAGGCAGACTAAGATCCACTGTCCCTTATCTATTGTTTCATGAGCTAAGTTTCTGTGCCTTGCAACCCATGCACTTGTCTGAGGTGAGAGGCCTGAGCTGGGCCAGTGCTCTGCTAGAGGCTTGTCTTGTTCTAGAGAGTGTGACAAGGACTTCAGTCAGCACAGCTGCCACATCTGACAGAACTGTGGTGATGACTAGCTAGCTAGGACTCTTGGGATTCAGAGCTTCTTGGGACTGCCTGGGTAGAGGAAGGAGGCTGTAGGAGCTGTGCATGCACGAAAACACACACCCCACACCAGGCTGTGTGATTTCATTTTGGATTGGGGTTCACAATGAATTTGTGTCTTGTGCCAAATTTAAGACATTTAGGGCTGTTAGTTCTTCAGATATCTTTTCTACCCTTTGCTTTTGAGACTCCAATCGGATCAACTGGTTGTATACTCGACCTTTCTAGCTCTGTGGATCCAGAGGCCCTGTTCCTTGATTCCCTTAATATTTGTCCTGTTATTCAGATTTTTCTCCCTGCATCTGTCTTCAGACTTACCCCCCTTTCCTCTGTTATCTCAATTTTCTTCTTAAGCCCTTGGGTGAATTTTGGTTTTGGGTGGTTTTTGTGTTTGTTCAGCTTTGTTTGCTAGTGGGGTATAAACCTAAAGGCTATTGAGTGCTTGGTCAGGGCTCCTTCATTGAGCTGCAGCCCAGCACTGTTATATTTTTGTAATATAGACTTGTTGAATTTCCCAGCCTTGAATGTACTCTGTAGCCCGGGCAGACTTTGACCATGTGATCCTCCTGCCTCAGTCTCCCAAGCAGCTGGAATCACAGGCTGCTACCAGGCCCAACCTGTTTAACTCCTTCTCATAGTTTTACTTTTTCTGATGAGCTTTCACATCTTTTCACTTTTGTGTGTGTGAGCAGATTTACTTTATTGGAAATGGTAGTTGTGATGGTCAATCTTACATGTCAGCTTGACTTGGCTGAGGAATGCTCACATAAAGGCAGAAAAAAAAAATGATTTCCTGGTGTGTCTGTGAGAGAATTTCTGGAAGAGATTAGCATTTGAGTCAGTAAACTGAATAAAGAAGGTCACATTCATATCTACAGGAGACAGTCCCTTCATGGTTGGGAGAGGGTGGCCTCTGGAGGCCTCACTCCTGAGTCAGAAGCTTCTGATAGTGTAGGGGCAGCAGGAGTGATTTTCTTCAGTAGTGTAGCCACTGCAAATTCCCACACTTCAGTAAATGACCCTTCAGCCACGGTCATGTAAGCAACCCCAGTTAAATACAATGGGTATCACAGACACACAAGCAGAAGGACCGCTTGCTGAAAGGAGGGGTACAGTAGCAAAAAGGGGCATGAAGAGAGAGAGTAAGGGATGAATTGACTAAATATATTACATACAGGCATGATAAATTCATCTGTTTGGACCTGACTTTGGTCCTCAGCAACCACCTAATCCAGGGGATCCAGCACCCTCTTCTGGCCTACATGGGCACCATTTACACACTACACACACACACACACACACACACACACACACCCCTAATCCAGGGGATCCAACACCCTCTTCTGGCCTACCTGGGCACCATTTACACACTACACACACACACACACACACATACACACACACACCCCTAATACAGGGGATCCAACACCCTCTTCTGGCCTACCTGGGCACCATTTACACACTACACACTACACACTACACACACACACACACACACACCTAATCCAGGGGATCCAGCACCCTCTTCTGGCTTACTTGGGCATTTCATTCATTCACTATTCATTCACTAACATATACAATCTTTTTAAAAAGAATTTAAAAAACAAGACCACATTTATCCTTGTGGGCAGGCATCATCCAGTGCAGCAAAGGCCACATAGAGCACAAGATAGAGGAGCTTTTCTCTCTGCTCTGTCCCCTGTCAACAGTGCCCTTGACTGAATTAAGTCACCATCTTCCCTTCCTCCCTCCCCTCTCCACTCTTGCATTCTTCCCTCCTTTCCCCTTCTCATTGCTTCTGTTTCTCTGAAGAGCAGACGATAGTGACGGTGGCTGTTTTAAGAATCTTTATCAGTGAATTTCAGTATCTGGGTCATGTTAGAGTCAGTCTCCCTTCTGGAGACAGCAGCAAGATTTAAAGGAATTTTCTTGCGTATCAGGTCACTTTTAGATTTCATTTGGGGGATTGTAAGTGTTTTGATGTAAAGATGCTGAGTTCTGTTCTAGTTCTCCAAAAACAGCGCTGATATTTTTGGTTTAAATCAGACTGCAATCGTGTCCATCAGGTTCTCCAGATTAGAGAGGGTCGAGGGGAGGGGATAGATGGTTTGTTTGTTTGAGAATCAAATCCGGAGCCTTGTGTATCCTAGGCAAACATTCTACCATTGAGCTATCATATTAGCCCTTGGCTTCTTCAGACAAGGTCTCACTATGTAGCCCAGTCTGTCTGCAAACTTGTGATCCTTCTGCCTCAGCCTTCTGGGTGTTAGAATTACCTGTGTGTGCCACCATTCTGGCAAGTTTCAGCTTTCCTCAGCCTGCATGAGTCTGCTCATGAGATGCTGGATGGCCTACTTAAACAGAAAGGGCAGTGCTCATCTGTGCCAGCCTGCCTGTGCACGCAGAGGAGTTACCATGATGTATGCAAAGATGTTTATGGTCTGTTGGAAGGTGTCTCAAGATTTCTTTCCCTTTGGTTGCTTTTCAGAGGTCTAAGTATTCCGTGTGTTATGGCAAGGTGACAAGCAGCCCACAGGAGTGGGAATGTGTGGTTGAGATTATTTCTTTGGTTCTTTCAGTTGCTTTTGAGAGGTCCAAGCATCCCACTGTGCTATGGGGACAATACAAGGCGAAGGGCACATCTCAAAGACATCAGAGATGATCTCTCTCAAGTCCTTCACTTTCAAGATGAACGAAAGGATTCTCCTTCAAGGCCATGCAGTCACTGTATGCAGAGCTGGCTTCAGTGCTCACATCTCTCAAGTTCCCTCACAATCTTTTTCCTGCCAGACAAGCCCGAGTCTTTTACACCCACATGTGCCTTCTCTTTCTCTCTGGTCTGACATCAGTGACCCCAGTGCCCTTGGATGGTGCTAAGATTTTAACCTGCATTAATCCTCCCAGGTTCATGTGTTTGAACGTTTGTTTCTCAGCTTCCCACACTGCTTTGGGAGACCATGGGACTTTGGGGAAGAGGAGCCTAGCTGGGGAGGGAATGGATTTCTTAAGGGGCAGGGCCGGAGGCTGCAGCCCCTCCCAGCTTCCTGTGTCATCTCTGCCCCTGCTCCATCAACATGGAAGGAAGTGAGGAGTCTCAACCGCTCCCATTCCTGTGGCCTGCTTGTCACCCTGCTGTCCCTGCCACAGTGGACTTTATGCCTTCAAACTGAGCCCAAATAAATTCTCCTTCCTCTCAGTTGTTTCTTGTCAGGTATGTTGGTGACAGAAGCAATAGAAGCCACTTATATAGATGACATGGAGGGAAGGGCCTCTGTCTATCACAGCTGAGATTCTCAACTGGTTTTGTTATTTCACAGTACTTAAGAAATCCAATATATAGCCATGAAGACCCAAAGAATCCCAGTTTCACCATCCCAGCAATGAGCTACTGTTGTTGGATTTCAGATGGGGCAGCTTCTCTTTGGCTCCTTCCTCCTCCCCACATTCAGCACCACTACCCCAACCAAGGTACCTACCATAGATGCGAAAGGCATATTCAATCTTCAGGCTGGGGCAGGCCTGCTCACTGAACACTGACGCCATGCCCAGCACATCTTCAAAGGAGAACACGCCGTCATGGGAGAATACCCTGCAGATGCGATCTCTGAAAGGGTTGACCTGTGACGGGGTGAGGGAGACAAGGTCCATCAGGGTCAGGGTGCTACCTCCCCATGCCTCTCCCACCTGCCATTAGTGCTGTGTCCTGGACTGAGACAAAAAGAGTGAAGTAAGACCCTGAGTGTGGTGGAGGAGTCCAGGACAAGGCACCCTGCTTGACATCGCTCTTCTCAGTCATCTCCCCCTGCACCCACATTCCAATGGCTGTGTGTGCATGCATGTGTGTGTTTGGTTACATTATTGAGGTTTTTATGGATATTAAACTTCCCTCCATGCACAGTAAAAAAAAAAATTTAAATTTCCCTCCATTTTACATTTAAAGCTTAGAAAATTTTTAAAAATGGATAAAGAATAAAATAAAGGGACTGGAGAGATTGGTCAGCGGTTAAGAGCACTGGCTGCTCTTCCAGAGGTCCTCAATTCAATTCCCAGCAACCTCATGCTGGTTCACAACCATCTATAGTGGGATCTGATGCCCTCTTCTGGTCTGCAGACATACATGCATGCAGAATGCTGTATATATAATAAATTATTAAAAAATAATAAAAAGTCATCTATAATCGATTAACATTGATGTAGTGGTCAGCAGACCCAGGTTTAATGCTGTGTCATTAGTTACAGAGAAATGGTCATATAGATACATTCATCAGCTATTTCAGAGTTAAAGATTTCTATAAAGTAGAGAGATCATAATTATGACTACCATGTAGGACCGCCATGAGGAATAAGAAGAGCCCAATGTCTGATAAATAAGTCAACCAATGAAAGCTGGTAGTTGCTATCCAACCACTCCAGATGTCACAGTCAACAGAGCAGTTTTCAAATGAGGCGCCCAGGCTGGAAACATTTGCCTAGCACGTGTGATGCCCTGGGTTCAATCCCCAACCTATCCTTTCTGAAACACTGTGTGCATGCACACACACACACACACACACACACACACACACACACACACACACACACACACGAGAGAGAGAGAGAGAGAGAGAGAGAGAGAGAGAGAGAGAGTCCCAAATTACCAAGGACCATTTGATTTTAGCAACTCTGGTCCCCTCAAACTGTCCCTTGACCTTGGCATGTGAGCCTCCGATGCTGACATTCCTCCACGTGGGCTTCTGACATCCTAGCTACTATTGGCCAGTTCAGATACTGCTTATTAATTCAGCTTGCAACTCTCCCTCTAGCCCCAGGAATGGGCAGGTGGTGAGAGGGCTTTTTGGGGGCAGAGCTTATCAGAGTTTGCTATAATTCAGATTATAATCCTCTCCCCAAAGCTTGTGTGTTATAATTGTGATCCCTAGGAAATAGGAGAAGCTTTAAAAGATAGGGCCCAGGGGTGGGGCGATGATGAGGCATGTCTTCAAAGAGGATCATGGGACTCTAGCTCTTAATTACTTTTGCTGCCCAGGTGCCAGGAGGTGGGCAGCTTCCTTCTCTACAACCTCCTGGCATAACACAACAGGTCCCTGAAGCATTGGGGACAATTGACCAAGGCTGAAACTACAAAGCTGCAATCTCCTCCTAACATGATCTTCTCCAGGGTTTTATTCCAGTAACAGATAATTAACTAGAGCTCAGGGGGAACAGCAGAGAAGGGTGCCTGGCAACCTTTAAAAGCAGCAAGTTTAACTTTGGCACACCCGCTGCTCACTCTCTGGGACTCTGATCCCTTCCCACATCCCAGAACGCATTTCCCCAGTTGCTCAGTATCCCCTCCCAGTGGACCTTATCAAACTCCAGCTCTCTCCTACTTCAAAACAAACCCTAATAACTAATACCTCCCTGAAATCCCTGTTCTTATATGTTCCCTGATTAAGCTGCCTGACCCTGTAAAGCCACAGCAGATGAGGCTGTACACTAGAGCCCAGCTCCCAAAGTTCTATCATCTGACATGGTTCTCTGGTTTTTTTCACTAGCTTCCTTTTGTATGACAAGGCGTCTCTTCGGAGCCTCTTGTTTTGTGCAAAGGGGTTTGGCTCAGCCTCTCTGCTCCACTGGGCATCACCTGGCATAAGCTGACTGCTAAGGCTCCACACCAGTGGTTCTCAACCCATGGGTGTGTCCCCTTAGTTGACCGCCCAAGCCTACAGAAAACACAAATATTTACATTATGATTCATAACAGTAGCAAAATTACAGTTATAAAGTGGCAACAAAATAACTTATGGTTAGGGGTCACCACAACACGAGGAGCTGTATTAATGGATCACAGCATTAGAAAGGTTGAGAAGCACTGATCTATCTATACAGTCTATCTCTAGAGCAGCCCCATCCAGATCAGCCAGTGCTTAGCTCTCTCACTTCCTTTCTCCAGTTTTGACATTTGGGATATGTTTTTCTTTCATTCTCCTAGAACTTAGCCATACATTGAAAGTGTGGTTTTATTTTTTTCATCATTGTATTTGAGAGGAGACATTGTATGACACTTCAGGTGGCTAGGCAGTTCTCGAATTTTACTCCGCATACAGCTCACTTGGGGTCATTCTTAAAAACATGAATTCATGTTGGACAGTTGTAAGAGCTTCATCCATGCAAAATGAAGAATTAGCTACACACTATTAGGCTCTTAGTTCCCAGTTTTATAATGCATACTTGAATATCTAAGAGGGTAGATCTCAAGCTAAGTGTTGTAAAAATTCAGGCCCACTGTGGTGGTACACACTTGTAATCCCAGCATTTGGGAAGCTGAGAGAAGAGAATTTGGGAGTCAGAGGCTAGCTTTGGCTACATAGGGAATCTCAGGCCAGCCAGGGATAGAGCAAGATCTTGCCTTAAAAACAAAACAAAACAAAGAACAGTGTTCTAAAAATTGTGAGGAGTGTGACTGCCATATTATGGTGTGTACATGGTATATGCTACATAAAATCACACAAGCTTTCACCCTCAGAAGTCTTGTGTCCCAGGGTCTGGAGCGGAGGCCAGCATTATAGATGAATTGTGTTCCCTCTAAAATTCCTGTGTCAAAGTAGTAAACCACCACACCTCAGAATATGACTTCTTTTGGAAATGTCAGTTGTAGGTATAATTCCCTAGGTTAATGTGATATCACACAGAGGAGGGATCCTTATGACATACAATTTGTCCTTACATAAAGGGAAAGTGAACACACATATGTATTCTCAGAAACTGCCACATGGAGATGGAGGCATACATCAGGGTGAAGTATCCACAGGTCAAAGAATGTCAAAGATTGCCAGCATCCCCACATAGGTAAGACTGATCTTTCATTCCAGTTTTCAGAAGGAACCAATCCTGTCTACACCCATCTCAGACTTCTAGCCTTGCTGGTTATGAGACAATGTTTCTATTGTGTGAGTCACAGAGTGTGTGGCAACATGCTTTGTAAGCTCCTCAGGTCATGGAGGTCTGTTTTTTACATATACGTGTGCATCACAAGTATATAGATACATATATAATGTTTTATGGAGAAATATATACATGTTCCAAAAGTGGTCATAATGCAAGGGAGTCCAGGCTCTCAAAACACCAAGCTCACTCCAGGCTACTTCAACATGCCCAGAAATACCTGGTTTTCCTATCTCTAATTGATGCTGATAGCTTGAACTCCTAGGAAGTGTCCCGAGTACCTAGCTAAGTGGCTTTATCAATTATGTGACCAAAATTTAACTACATTAACTCTTCTCACAAATGGATATATGGCTCTTAACAAGATTCCTGCAAAGAAACCACAATTGAAGGTAATGTTTGTAATGCAGATAAAAGTGAACAGAGAGATAGAGAGAGAGAGAGAGAGAGAGAGAGAGAGAGAGAGAGAGAGAGAGAGAGAGAGCGCACTGAGGCCTTTTCCTACTTGAAATGCAGTTTCTCTCCACACGGAGAAGGCTCGAGAATCCAGGCAGACAAAACAAGATGTCCTTGCTTCAGTTCTCTGCGCCTGTGCTCAGTCACGCACAAGGCAGGTCTGCGGGCTCTCCCCCAGCACACATTCCCAGCTAGGGAAGGAGATGAAGTCTTCCTTCCCCTGGGGCCTCCTCTGCTGCAGGCCTTGGCTAGGAATGAGGGGGTTGAAAGTAGTGGTGTTGGGGCTTGGGGCGGTGGTTACTGGAAGAGCAATTCACTCTCCCTTTGACCCATGTCATTTGATTACACACACACACACACACACACACACACACACACACACACACACACACGGGGGGGGGGGTTGCAGTATGCTATGCTCTAGGCAAAACAGTCACCATCTTCATTAGGCCAGCTGTGCCAGTTTTCAAGCAACCATCACGATAGGGTCTGTTGGCTACTGATGTTTCCTCAGAGAAGAAATTTGGGAGGGCATGAACTCATCTTCCTGAGACTCCAGTCACTCTTCCCAGCCCTTTGTATGCAATTCTGAACTAATTGCAAATGACCTAGGGGTCTTGGGATTTTAGAACATAAAAGCTGAGGGAGGTTAACAAAAGGGATCCCCATCTGTGTGACTCTGGGGAAGCCATCATCCATGCTGGGTAAAGACTTTCTGGTATGGCAGGGCTACTCATGATCACCCATATTCTTTCTGTAAGTCCAGTAAATTCACTGGTTCCTTAGGTTGGACTTTTTGTCTTTGGGACCTTATAAGGCGAGTGCATATGTTTATATCTTCCCAGAGAAGGAATTCTCGGAATATACATTCCCCTCTTAGACTGGAAACCCAGAAGTTGGTAATTGATGACAGCAAGAATAATGGCATATACAATACAACCTTGGAAAATGCCGAGAAAATATTTCTGAAGTTGAAGAGAAGCAATGGGTCTCACGCTGCCAAGGCTTTGTGAAGTAGTTAAAAGTACCGATGTTTCTAATTTGGATTTCTTAGCTTTTGATCTAACAATGAACTACATGAAGACCGATGTGTCTCGGATCCACTAACGAGGAAGATGTTACAGAATGAATAATAAAAACATCATTTCTAGTTGTATGTGGTGGTACAGGCCTGTCATTCCAGCACTAACAAAAGACAAAAGCAAACAAAAAGGCATATTCTCAGTGGTAGTAGGATCA